AACTGAAAAGATGAACCGGCTGGAGAGTAGCTCCAGATAAGAAAAAGTTTGTTAGAACAAATTGGGTTTGTCTGGTTTTGTCTCTTCCGCGAACTCCCAACATCCTTGTTTCCTTACCATTTACGCCCTTCTGACATCAGACCTCATTTCAGTGAACACGTGTGATATTATGGGATGCAAGTATGTAACATGTTTGTCTACGTGCTAAAACTGATTCCCTGTGCAAAGGGGAGGCTGCTGTTATCCTGCCCAATCAACTGTTCCTCTTGCATTATTCTTTGTTGCGTTAATATTATTCTTTGTTAACTATTTTTATTGCATTTATTGCATTTATACTATAAATACTATACTATAAAAAGGAATGTGAGCTGGGTCTCTCCCTTTTCATAGGGGGATCCCACTTTATCAGGGTACCCTAATAAATCGCTTTTGAATGCTTTTTGGGAAGGTAAACAGAGGCAGAACCTGGGTTCAAATTCGGCTACCGGTCCCTCCATCCAGACCATCAAGTACGGTTTTCCAAATAGCGTCAACCGATAAAGATGTTTGCCCCCCCCACCTCCTTTGAATCCTTCTTTCTGTTTAAAATCCCTTCAGAGGAGAGACAAGGGCGCCGCAGTGCCTTTCAGACCTCAAAGGGTAAAAGCTGTAATGATTATATATATATTTTTGTGAAAGGTTTCCTTTTTCCCTACTTTTAAACAGTTGCCCGGAGGACGGGTCTTGCACAGATCTGTGCGAAAACATCTGCATTTTGTTCCCTTCGAACTGGCTTTCATTTTGTTCCCTTGAACTCGGCTTTCCCTCTGTCGAGGCCTTGGATTTACGACTTCTGTTGGCCTCCATTCAGGGTGGGGCTTTTGGGCAGCCTTTCAGAGAACGGAAAGCGCATGCTAATGTGCTCGATGCAAAACTACTATTTTATCTAAACACTTCGGTGCATGTGCCACGTGCCGGCAGACTCGTTCCAGGCTGTTCTTCCCTGCCTTTTCCCTTCCAATGTGCCAGCGTCAAAAGAGCAAAGCTCTTAAGCCCCAGCTTTGTTGGGGCAACGGGGTTCAAAGACAATCTAAAGGGCTGAGGAGGGGGTCAGAGGACCCTGTGGGGAGCCAAAACTGCTCCCTGCCCTTAACTTTGCACTCTGGGGGTAAAGTACTCTCTGCCTCTCTTCCTCCCGCTCCCGTTTCTTGGCCATTTTTTACTGGCTTTTTTTTCCAGCCCTGCTGATCTTCATTTGTGCTCCCATCTCCAGCGAGCCCAAGGCCGTAACCAATTTTGGTCACCCTACAGCAAAAGAGAGGTTGAGATTTTGGAAAAAGTTCAGAGAAGAGCAACTTTAAGATGATCCAAGGCGGCCTGGAGACTAAAACATACGAAGAACGGCTGCGGGACTTGGGTTTGGCTAGTCTAAAGAAAGGTGGATTGAAATGTGGATTGACAGGCGGCTGTTACGCATAAGCTGGGTGGGCAAGATCAGAAATGAGGAGGGGATCAGCCGCCTGGGAAAGCCCAGGGAAATCACCAAAACAATTAAAAAACGAAAATTAGAATATTTCGGACATGGGATGCGACACCCAGAAAAATACGGCATGCTCCATTTAATCCTCCAGGGAAAGACTGAAGGCCAACGAGGTCCAGGCAGAAGAAGAACATTGTGGCTTCAGAATCTAAGGGACTGGTTTGGACAAAACTCAGCAGCACTTTTTCGTGCGGCGGCTGATAAAAACAGGATCGCCAACATGATCACCAACGTCCGATAATGGATATGGCACAAGAAGAAGAAGAAGAAGAGGAGGAGGAGGAGGAGGAGGAGGAAGAAGGAAGGAAGGAAGGAAGGAAGGAAGGAAGGAAGGAAGGAAGGAAGGAAGGAAGGAAGGAAGGAAGGAAGGAAGGACAGACTAGGGGGGACATGATGGCAGTCTTTCAGTACTTGAGGGGCTGCCCCAAAGAGGAGGGGGGTCACATTATTCTCCAGAGCACCAGAGGGCAGGACAAGAAACAATGGTTGGAAACTAATCAAGGAGAGAAGCAACCTGGAATTAAGGAGAAACTTCCTAACAGTGAGGACAATTAGCCAGTGGAACAGCTGGCCTCCAGAAATCGTGGACGCTCCATCCGTGGAGGTTTTTAAGAAGAGACTGGACAGTCACTTGCCTGAGATGGTATATGTACTCCTGCTTGAGCAGGGGGCTGGACTAGAAGACCTCCAAGGTCCCTTCCAGCTCTAGTCTGTTCTGTTTCTGCATAGCTGTCCATTCAGAGGAAAGGAGGGGAGGACTTAGCAGGTCCTGGCTGCATTTTCCTGGGACCTGGCCAGGTGTATCTTTCCTCCCTCTGCTTTTAAACAGAGAGCCCCCCCACCCCCCAGGGGTTAGCAGGAAGCCCCCAGATGGAGCCCTTGTCCAGGATTTCCTGCAGAAACTGGACAGTCACCCCCTTTGATCAACGGGCTGCGAGTCGGGCCTCCTGGCAGAAACAGTGCCCAAAAAAAACACGGATGTGAAGAGTTGAGGGTGGATTATTTGTGCAGGAAATCTATGCAGCTAGTCCTCGACATACGGGCCACAAGTGAGCCCCAAGTTTCTGTGCCTAAGTGCGACAGTTGTTAAGTGAATTTTGCTCTGTTGGTTGCCTCAGTTGTTAAGGGAATCACTGCAGTTGTTAACATTAGCAACCCGGTCGTTAAGTGAATCTGTCTTCCCCATTGACTTTGCTTCTCAGAAGGTCGCAAAAGGGGATCACGTGACACACACACACACCCTCGGGGAGGACCCTGCAACGGTCATAGGTGTGAGTCAGTTGCCAAGCGTCTGAATTTTGACCACGTGACCCTGGGCAACGGTCTTAAGTATGAAAAGCAGCTGTAAGTCACTTTTTAAAGGGCCATTGTAACTTTGAACGGCCATTAAATGAACGGTTGTAAGTCGAGGACTCTTTCCTGGGGTTGGGACGGCATTTAGTGCTGCTGCTGCCTCTAGGCAAGGACCAGTTTTGGAAAGTTTTCCAGGGAGGACACCAGAACTGTAACTGCAGTATATACATTTTATATTCGTGGCTGTGCAAACAGTGACATTTCACAAATTCCACTCATCATCTTTTAAACCTCCTACGTTACAGGTAGTCCTCGATTTAGGACCACAGGTGAGCTTCTCAGTGAATTTTGCCCCATTTTACGACTTTCCTTGCCGTAATTGTTAAGCGAGTCACCGCAGTTGCTAAGTTAGCAACCCGGTCGTTAAGCGGATCTGGCTTCCCCCCCCATTGACTTTGCTCGTCAGAAGGTCGCAAAAGGGGATCCCCGGGACGCTGCGACCGTCATAAATATGAGTCAGTGGCCAAGTGTCTGAATTTTGATCACGTGATCCTGGAGACGCTGCCACGGTCGTAAGTGTGAAACGCAGTCACAAGTCACGTTTTTCAGTGCCGTCGTAACTTGGGACGGTCACTAACTGATCTGTTGTAAGTGAAGGACCGCCTGTAATAGTATCATTACGTAGTTTGGTTTTCCGTTAGATCGGGGTAGGCAACCTTGGCTCTTTTATGACTCGTGGACTTCAACTCCCAGAATTCCTGAGCCAGCCATGCTGAGGGGAAAGGGAGAGGTTTCCAAGCTGAGCCATGCTGGCCCAGGAATTCTGGGAGTTGAAGTCCACGAGTCATAAAAGAGCCACGGTTGCCTACCCCTGACTTAGATCTTCCATTGAACTCCATAATGTGATATTTTATTATGTATTTGTCACTCAGTCTGACAGCTATTGAAAGATTCCCTGCTACTATAAAATCTTTAAATCTATAAAAATTGCCTTCTCGCAGATTTCATTTTAGCCCGACCATAATCATTATTATCCTATATTATTGATCAATATAGGTTAGTAGAGGAGTTAAAAGGGAAGTATCCTTTACCAAAACGGTGTATTTACTCTTCCAAATTTGAAATATTGCTTTAATAAAGCACTTTTCAATAAGTTTTATTCTAGAACATTGTTTTGGTTGGGGGAAAAAAAAAATTGATCTATATACTTATCTGGCTCTAAAAATGTTTCAATTTGAATCCATTGTTTAGAAGCGTCTCCCATAATAAATGGAATTATACGCCCCAAATATGCCGATTTTATTTCCTCTTAGTTTTTGTGCATGAAAATAGAAGCTTCAACACTGGAAGTTTTTAAGAAACTGGACAGCCATTTGTCCGAAATGGTATAAGGTTTCCTGCCTCAGCAGGAGGTTGGACTAGATGACCTCCGAGGTCCCTTCCAACTTTATCATCATCATCATCATCATCATCATCATCATTATTATTATTATTTCATTTTTGCCAATTTCTTACGAGGTTATGCTGGAATTGCCCCCAGGAGGGATTGAAACAAAAAGTTAACCTGTGCAAGAATTTTCATTTTTACCACTGCAATTCACCCTAAAACATTGAATTGTTTTGAAGCCAACTTCCTAATACCTTTGATTAATTTCTTCCACGTTGATTCATAACTATTTTTTTTTTAAAAAATACTAATTTATTTTTATTAATATGCTTAGCTGTTTCAAAGATTTATATACAGGTTGTCCTTGACTTAAAAATCAGTTGGTTATATCGCTGAAAAAATGACTTATGACTATGTTTCACAGTTACGACCGTTGCAACCCCCCCACGGTCTATGTGATTTACATTCAGGGGCTTGACAACTGACTCCTACTTATGACGGTCGCAGTGTCCCCCGGGGTCACGTGGTCCACTTTTGCGACGAGCAAAGTCAGTAGGGAAGCCAGATTCACTTAACAACCGTGACTGCAGTGATTCATTTAACGGCTGTGGCCAGAAAGGTTGTAAAATGGGGCAGGTTGTAAAATTTCTCGCTTAGCAACATAAATTCTGGGCTCCGTTTTGGCCGTTAAATCGAGGACTGCCTGTAGTCGCATTTGTTTCCGGTGCTGGCTTTAACAGGAGCCATTTGCTGTCTTTTTTTTTTTTAATTGTTTTTTTCTTCTTCTCGCTTTTGCAGAACCATTGAAACTGTACCATGAATGGTGAAACGAGAGCAGAGGTGGTAACTTCACCACCCCCAACAGCTCCCCATAAAGAGAGATATTTTGACAGAGTGGATGAAAACAATCCCGACTACTTGCGGGAGAGGAATATGGCCCCTGACCTTCGCCAGGATTTCAACATGATGGAACAGAAAAAGAGAGTATCCATGATCCTCCAAAGTCCGGTAAGAACGTATTATCATTTTTTTTCCCCCCCACCAACACACGACCAAAAAAAGAAGCACGTAGAACAAGTTGGATCCTGAGAATACGTAGCAAGCGACAAGAAAAGAAAAGGAGGCCATTTAATGGTTAAATGCCCTGCGTTTTAAAGACAGTTTTCAAACAAGGCGGTTTTAGTGTGTGACTTAAGCCAGGCAAAGTCTCTTAAAGCGCACATGTGTGCGTTTCCTTGAAAAAAGCACTGCTTGTCTCTTTTTTTTGTGTTTTGTAGTTCAGATTTCTAATGCAGTTTCATTTGTGTGGGTGAAAAGGCCTTAAATAGCTCTTGAATCCATTCCGCAAGTATTGTGTATTTTTCTTCTTGCTGTTGTTACTAAAGCAAAGCGGTGATAAAATTTACTGGAATATTACACTCTAATTCTGCAGTACATAGACTTCAGAGAATTCAGGGCTGCTGCAGCCGACATTATTTCCTTCATAAGATAGATAGATCAATATAATCACAGGTTACACAATATTCTGTGCCGCCCTCTCTCCTTGAAAAGTCCTACGGATACTCCTTGAGTTTAATGATAGCCCAGAACTACAACAGTCTAAGGAAAGATCCTTTATAGCCCCTAAACCAGAGGTCCCCAACCTATGGGCCATGGCTCACTACCGTGGCCTCTTGGCCACCAGGCTGCGTGAGTGGGTTGACAATACACGCGCATATGCACGCGTGCTCATCCTCCTTGCGCCAGCGCTGAGTCTCACACCGATGCTAGCTGAGCCTTGCGCAGGCGCTAGCCATGCCTCACACCAACACTAGCCGAGCCACATACCTCACGCCAGCGCTAGCAACCCCATTTGCGGAGCGTGCATGCTCCCAGCCCCATTTGCACCCACATACATGCAGCCACATTAGCGTGAGTGCACATGTGCGCATAAAGGTCCCTGCCCCTCCCTTTCCCACTGGGCTGCCAACCGAGAAAGGTTGGGGACTCCTGCCCTAAAAAACATCTGGCCATTGGAAAATGTTGCACCACCACTCCTGCGGTCACATAATCTGGATGCTCAGCACTCTGCACTTAAAGACCGGTTGTCAAGTACCCTGCAATTATGTGATTGCCAGCTGCAACCTTCTCTGCTGGCTTCCCCATTAAATCATTGGGGAAGCCGGTAGGGAAGGTTTGCAAGCTGCTGCCACTTGCTGAGAAGAACCCCCTCCTATCTGGAGGCTGGCTGAAAGAGTTGCCTCCTGAGGGGAGCTGAAATTCCTTCAGAGAATTTCCCCCAGAGTTGCCTCCTGAGGGGAGCTGAAATTCCGTCAAAATATTTTCCTCAGAGTTGCCTCCTGAGGGGAGCTGAAATTCCCTCAAAAAGTTTTCCTCAGCGTTGCTTCCTGAGGGGAGCTGAAATTCCCTCCGAAAATTTCCCTCAGAGTTGCCTCCTGAGGGGAGCTGAAATTTCCTCAGAAAATTTCCTTCAGAGTTGTTTCCTGAAGGGAGCTGAAATTCCTTCAGAAAATTTCCCTCAGAGTTGCCTCCTGAGGAAAGCTGAAATTTTCAGGCCAAATCCTGAAAAATTTCTGCTCCATTCCTGCACCCCACTGAAGGTATCTGCTTTTGCCCAAAGAGTTGGACACTAAGCCAAGTCATGGCTCCTTCAGCAGCCTTTTCACGTGCGGTGTTGCTCTGTTCTTAGGCATTTTGTGAAGAGTTGGAATCCATGATCCAGGAACAGTTCAAGAAAGGGAAGAATCCTACAGGCCTGCTGGCTCTCCAACAGATTGCAGACTTCATGACGGCCAACGTTCCCAACATCTTCCCGCCAGCTCCTCAAGGAGGCATGACTGCCTTAAATATGAGTGAGTCAGATGGAGAAGGGCTGATGACATCTTGGCTGTGCAGGTAGTCCTCAACCAACGACCACAATTGACCCCAAAATTTCTGTTATGTGAGTTTTGCCCCATTTCGCGACTTTTCTTGCCACAGTTGTTAAGGGAATCACCGCAGACGATCAGTGAGTAACCTGATTATTAAATGAATCTGGCTTTCCCCACAGACTTTGCTTGTCAGACGGTCACAAAAGGGGGTCACATGACCCCGGGGACACAGCAACGGTCATAAATATGATGATTTTGATCACGTTATCGTGGGGTCGTAACTGTGAAAAATGGTTCTAAGTCCCTTTTGTTCCAGTGAAAATTTGAACGGTCACTAAGCGGACTGTTGTAAGTCGAGGACTACCTGTAATTTTGTATTTTTAGTAATTGGTAATGGTTTTAATTACTAAATTGGAGAGCTGCCCCTATTGAACTGCACGTGTCTTTCCTCTCAGGCCTTGGTATGGTGACGCCCGTGAACGATCTGCGGGGATCAGATTCCATCGCTTACGAGAAAGGGGAGAAGTTGCTGCGCTGCAAGCTGGCTGCGTTCTACAGGCTGGCCGACCTCTTTGGCTGGTCCCAGCTCATTTACAATCACATCACCGTAAGTGTGCAGTTCCGTAGGAGAAATGAAATGGGTGGGGGATCCAGTCCCATTCAGTCCAAGCAATAAAGCAGGGGTCTTCAAACCTGGCCCTTTTATGATTTGTGGACTTCAACTCCCAGAATTCCTCAGCCAGCGGTCACTGGGAGGACCGTAACTCTTGTAGATCTGTTGATTTTTCGATCTATCTTGAGCTTTCTGCCGTTCAGATTGTGGCTCTCAGAGCTTGACCTTTCCTCCTCCTTCATATCTGCAGGTCAGAGTAAACTTGGAGCAAGGACATTTTCTGATTGTGCCTTTTGGACTTCTCTATAGCGAAGTTGCTGCATCCAGCTTGGTAAGTGAGAAATTAAACACAGAGTTCTTGAACGTCTTAACTCATTGCCAGTTGGCACTAAGCGAGTGCCGCGTTTAAATCTTGGATTGGGCCCTTCCTATCCAAACCTTCCTTTCTCAAATGATGATAATCCTGGGCCTGCTTTGCTTCCTGCGGGTGGCAGTTAACGAGACTGAATCGCTGGGGACCGCGTGTCCGTCAGCCTCCAGCAGACATCTGCGGCAGAGCATCCTGATGGGGTCCCACTGGATTCACCTGGACTGTGGCTTGCGAGCTCCTTCCACATCTTCCTTCAGGCTCATTTGTGAAGCCCTGCCCTGTTCTGTTATTTACTCTCCTCCTGTGTGCTACCTTTATGCTAGTGGTTCTCAACCTTTTTAATGCCGCGACCCCAACCGGTTGTAAGTCGAGGACTAAACCGGTCGTAAGTCGAGGACTACCCAACCGGTCGTAAGTCGAGGACTTTCCCTGCCCGGGAGCGCCGCGCATGCGTGGTTCTGCCCCCTGCGCCGGCCGAGGCGTAGCTGGCAAGCGGCAGAGACGGAGCAGGCCGACCACCAGCTGGCTCAGCCCAAGGGAGGTAAGGCACCCGCCGGAAAAGGGGAAAAAAATGGCGGACAAAAAAATGGCGGACAAAAAAAATGGCGGACAGCCTTGCTTGGCGACCCCGTGAAATGGTCGATCGACCCCAAATGGGGTCCCGACCCATAGGTTGAGAACCACTGCTTTATGCACATTTGCCTTTTCCTCCCCCCAAGGAGCATTTAAAATGATTCGAATCTGTTTCCCTCCTACGTTTTCCTCCTGCCAGCCTTTTAAGAGCCGTTCTTCAGAGAAGCGGATCAGTGAACTTTTAAGCCTTTTCAGGAGCTCACCTCAGATGCACCTTGAGAAGGAGACAGTTGGAGCCCTGCTAAAGTTACGTTTCAGAGGCGTGGAGGACTTTAGCACTGGAACCCGCTTCTGAGGACTTGTGCTGCATTTATTCATGTTGCTAGCAGGATTCTTGCAAGGGTAGATAGATAGCGGCACCACAGCTCCGCTCTTTCTGAGTGACATTTTGTATCCCACCACCAGTTGGTCTATCGTTTCTGATTCTGGAGAATCTCTTTAGTAGACCTCACTCGAGCAGCTGCGCCTTTATTTTCTTTCATCAAGTCTTCAGCCATGCCCCCGCACCTTTTCAAGAGATCTGCCCACATCAGAATAAGTTAGCTCGGTCATTGTCTGTCAATGTGGCTGCACAGAACCGTAAAGAAACATAAAGACTTATTCTTCGCCTCGTCTCTAGTGCCCTCCCCCAAGCTGCATCCTCTCCTGAAATGGGTTTGTTGTTTATACAACCGAGGATTTTAATACAGTCCTCGGTTGTATAAACAGAAGCGTGGAATCAAAATCACGTGAAGTATTAGTGCCGCTTTATAAATCCTTAAGTAAGGCAGTAAGAATATACTGCCTCCAATTTTGGTCACCACATTACAAAAAAGATGTGGAGACTTTGGAAAAAGTGCCGAGAAGAGCAACTAAGATGATTAAAGGCCCGGAAAGTAAAATATATGAAGAATGGTTGCTGGAGCTGGGTATGGCTACTCTAGAGAAAAGAAGGACTGGGGGGGGGGGGGACATGATAGCAGTGTCCCAATATATGTATATATGTATATATATACATTTTTTTAGATTGCTAACAAAGAATAAAGGGAGAATTGGAATAGCTGTTTCGAGCTTCTTAGCTCTCTTCAGCCAAACATACCCTTCTGAGATTCGAACCTGGGCTGCTTGCATGTTAGGCAGGTGTGTTAACCTCTAGGCCACAGGCTCTTTCTCACTTTGTCAGCTGTATCAAGGAGCTTTGTCAGCTGTATCCAATATTTGGGCCGACAGGTACATAAAAAAAAACCACTGCCTCGAATAAAGCAGTTGATAAACTCATAAACAAACAAACAGAGGCGGAGCATGAAAGATAGCTTGATTGTTGCTAACGAAAGGTGTCAGCCATCGTGACCGTGGTTCTGGCTTAAGCTTTCAAACCTTCTGGAAGAGCTCAAAAGTCAAGATAACTTCCTAAGTCAACATTGCAGACGTCGTGTAAAAATGGTTTGAATTATAATGTCATTACCGGATTCCCGCTTCCAAGATGCCTCGCCTTAGAGCCGAGAATGTAAGAAAAATAAATTATCCGAGTGTCTTTGGATACTCTGCGGTGTTCCATCTAAACAAGCAAACAAACAAAAAAATCCCTCATCGTAAAAACTTTTCTGTAGATCAGCATCGTATATACCCACAGAGATGGTGGTAACTTCCACTCTCTCTCTCTCTCTGGTTTTCCCAGGAAGAGTCTCAGGGGAAATGACGAGAGGACCTTTCCTGCAAGGAAGGCTGTGGGAGCTTGATGGGGGGCAAAGTTGCTCCTATCTCCTCCTAGGGGAAGGTCCTGGGTGCAAGAACAGGGTGAGGGGAGAAGAAAAGGAGGGACCCTTGTTTTATACAGCTTCCTCTTTTCCATGCATGCTAGGCATGACCACTGAGGGGCCCAAAAGGCTAATACAGTCCTTGGTTGGATAAAGAGGCATGGAATCAAAATCACGTGAAGTATTAGTGCTGCTTTATAAATGCTTAGTAAGGCCACACCTGGAATATACTGCGTCCAGTTTTGGTCACCACAGTACAAAAAAAATGTTGAGACTTTGAAAAAAAAAGTGCAGAGAAGAGCAACTAGGACGATTAAAGGCCTGGAGACTAAAACATAGGAAGAACGGTTGCAGGATTGGGTGTGGCTAGTTTAGAGAAAAGAAGGACTAGGGATGACATGATAGCATTGTTCCAGCATTTGAGGGGCTGCCCACAAAGAAGAGGGAGTGAAGCTATTCTCCAAAGCACCAGAAAGCAGGACAAGGAGCAATGATGGAAACTAATCAGGGAGAGAAACAACCTGGAATTAAGGAGAAACTTCCTAACAGTAAGTACAATTAACCTGTGGAACAGCTTGCCACTAGGAGTTGTGGTTGCTCCAACACCGGAAGCTTTTAAGAAGAGACATTGTCTAAAATGCTATAGGGCAGGGGTGTCAAACTGACGGCCTGCGGGCCGGACGCGTCACGTGGAAGCCACGCCCACCCCATTGCCGGCAATGGCAAAACTGGCCCGATACATTGCGCGACGTCACGTTACGTCGCGAGTTTGACATGCCTGCTATCAGGTCTCCTGCTTGAGTAGGGGGCTGGTCTAGAAGACCTCCAAGGTCTTCTGGCTCCTGTTCTATTCTGTTCTGTCCTGGTTCATTCTATTCTGTTCTATTCTATTCTATTCTATTCTATTCTATTCTATTCTATTCTATTCTATTCTATTCTATATTCTATTCTATATTCTGTTCTATATTCTATTCTATATTCTATTCTAGTGTCTATTCTATATTCTATTCTATTCTATATTCTATTGTATATTCTATTCTATTCTAGTGTCTATTCTATTCTATATTCTATTCCTTATTCTATTCCTTATTCTATTCTATTCTATTCTATTATATTCTATATTCTATTCTATTCTAGTGTCTATTCTATATTCTATTCTATTCTATATTCTATTCTATTCTATTCTATATTCTATTCTATTCTATTCTATTCTATTCTATATTCTATTCTATTCT